GGAGGAGGAGGAGGAGGAGGAGGAGGAGGGGAATTGTCATCGAGATTTAATTGACTCTAATAATTTAGCTACTATCTCCTTCAGCACAAAATGGCATCAGAATAGACAAAAACTAAATTTGTGATTCAGAAAGATACCTAAGTGGATGTTCTCACTTTTATTTTATAACTATATTTTCTTTTTTTCCCTTTGTTTTTAGTTCCTTCAAAGGATTGACTTCCTATAGTATCCTTCATTCTAGGTGTCTTACCTCTCAAGAAAGCTACCAGTAGGAAAAGATACAGCGAGGAAGACATGATTGTCATGAGTTAAGAAAGAAAACAATAGGATGTAATTAGTCTGCCAAGTCAGTTTTATATTTATAGATATCTGAGGGAGGAAATCTTGTTTTTTCATTTGCATACGGTTCATATAGGATATTACATATACTAAACTGCTATGCTTTCCTCCTAATACAATTGTAACAATATATGACTACTCAATGAAAACCAGAAAGAGCTTGGATATTGCCTTCAGTTCTAACTGCTATATTATTGCAGTTCATTACCTAGTCCCCAGGTAGAAGAGAACTGGAAGAGACCCCGGAGATCTTCTAGTCCAGCCCCTGCTCAAGCAGGAGAACCTATACCATTTCAGATAAGAGTCTATCCAGTCTCTTCTTAGAAAAACCCCCAGTAATGGAGCATCCATAATTTCTGAAGGCAAGCTGTTTCATGGATTAATTGGAACTTTTCCACTGTTAGGAAGTTTCTCCTTAATTCCAGGTTTCTTCACTCTTTGATCAATTTCCAGACATTATTTCTTGTCCTGTCCTCTGGTGCTTTGGATAATAATTTGACCCTCTCTTCTTTGTGGTATCCCTTCAACTACTGAAATACTGCTATCATGTCACCCCTAATTCTTCTTTTCTTTAGACTAGCCAGACCCAAAACTTGCAGCTGTTCTTCATATGGTTTAAGTCTTCAGGTCTTTGATCATCTTAGTTGCTCTTATCTGATTTTCTCCAAAGTCTCAACATCTTTTTTGTAGTATGGTGACCAAAATTGGCTGCAGTATTCCAGTTATGGTCTTACTAGAGTTTTTTTTAAAGCAGCACTAATACTTCACATGATCTTTAGACTTGACTTGGCATGTTTATCCAGCTATCAAGTCCTTCCCAAAAACTGAGAATATGCACATTTTGGTGTTTCATTGTGTTCAATGTATTGTTGCAGGATGTAAGCTGTTCCAAGTTAAGCTGCCTTTTGCAATTGACTGATGAAGATTTTGTCAATGCTGATAATGCTTAAGTGTTGAGTGGTGTGGTGGCCTAGAGGTGGAGCCCTCATCTCACAATCAGGAGGCTGTGAGTTCGATCCTAGGTAGAGGGAGATATTTCTGTCTCTGGGCACAATGAAAATATATCTGCTGAAAAAACTCTGCACTGGTGACAGGAAGGGCATCTGACCAATAAACACTCAGCTCCATTCAGTTGCCCAGACCCCATCCTTTAAGGGATTAAGAGGTAATTAAAAGAAGATGATGATGGTGCTTAAGTGGTGGTTCAGATGTTTCAGAATTGTACCCAAGGTGGGCCCTATCACTATTGATACCATCTTTGCTTTCTTTTTCTACAGTCATTCGACTTCTATTTGTTGATGTTGTGATTTTCTCCAGTTCTTACTCTTTTATTCTGCTGCCTTCAGGGCTATCCAGAACTTGTAATACAGGTACTGGATAGCTTACAACAGTTCATTTAGTGACTGTTCAAAGTTACCATGGGACTGAAAAAGGGACATGGCTATTTTTCACACTTATGACCTTTTGCAACTTCCCCAGGATCAGGTCATCAACATTTGAATGCTTGGTAAATGACTCATATTTATGATGTTTGCAGTGTTCAAGGGGATTGTGATCACCTTTTCAACTCTCTTACAAGCAAGGTCAATGAGGAAACCAGATTACTGTTACAACCATGTGACTAACTTAACAACTGCAGTGATTAACAATTGTGGTAAGAAAAGTTGTAAAATATGGCAAAATTCACTTAACAAATATTTTGCTTAGCAACAGAAATTTTCTGGTTCAGTTGTGGTCATATGTTGAGGACTATCTGTAAGAGCAGAAATTGTGGAGAAATTAACATGGAAGTTCAAGTAGTGGTCAGCACCAAGTGGTAGATGAATTCCTTAATTTTGGGTTGAACCATCTGACTGGTCTACATCCACTCCATTGCCAAGTAGTTTAACAACATGTTAAGGTCTTGGGGTTTAAGAGCAAACCAGCAGTGAAGTGGTTGCAATAAGAATGAATCAGCATAGCACGGGTATTTCCCTTTAAGACTGGGGGTGGGTTCTACCTCTTTAAGTGGTGTTAATATGAAGGCATCCATTTGACGGCATGTTCTCTCTTCTTATGTCCGGCATTCATTGCAGAGTTCTCCATGTAGGGTTAAGAAGAAAAATTGCTTGTAAGGTATTTTGCCTACCATGTATATGTTTCTATATAACTGTTGTATGTAAACCACTGTTAAATGTCTAGATCTCTGTGTGTTGTGTTTTGCTCCTGGGTTCTCTCACAATAATAGTCATGCTGCAAATGCTCTGACAGGTTATGGGCCTGGAACAAAGAGAAGGTCAGAGTGACTGGAAAGCCTAGAGAGAAGAGAAACCCAGTGGGAGTTTGCACCAGAGTAAGTGGCTCTGACACAACATACTGCAAGGAAGTGAAATTAATGTTTAGCAACACCAACGTGGCAATGAAAGGTTCAACAAAATATGTAGCAGCAGGCAACTGCAGGCGGATAACCTGTTGATGAATAATGTTCAACTTGCTAAGTGGTGTAATAAGTGAAGCAGTCCAACAGCATCCGGCTTCGGGGCTAAGCCACCTCCGTAGAAGGTGGTGAAGACAGAGGGGCTCTGGCAGGGTCGAGAGACATCGCACCTCTCTTCCCTAATCATCTAAACCCCCTTTTCCAAAGGCAGCTGAGCGGCGGTCAGCAATGGACGCCACATAGAAGAGCTCAGCCGGAAAAAGAAAGTGCAGGAGGAGCTGTGAAGACATGAAAGTGATCTTTGCTGACCGGGACAAAGTAACAGTGAAAGTACCCTGGAACTTAAAACTTACTAAAGATACATTGTTTCCAGACTGTGCTAAGCGGGGAATGGAAATTAAAGGGAAAACTTTTTTCTTTTCACTCTCCTTCCAAACGTAACAGCGATAGAACTTTATGAGAAATCAGAAAACCCGCATTGAAGGTATGCTAAATGCTAAAGGCTAAATGCTAATGCTAAAGGGATATGGATTTCTGAATATTTAAAGAAAAATCTTTTTTGCTGTAAGTGGGAAGGGAGAGGAAGAAAATTGGAGTAGAATTTGAAAACAAGGAGGAGACTGCCTAGAACTGCCTGAACTGGTGAAGAAAATAATTGACCCCGGGGATCATATTGTGACAACAGATGATTCCAGCCAGTCTAATATGTGCAGAGCACTTTGAGATCTCTTTGGTTCTGGTGGCCTCTAGCTAACATCCAGCAATATTGAGTATTTAAGTTTCCTGTGAAGGGTGTTTATACTCATTGTTGCTTAGAACAATTTATGCTAGGCAAGATACAATAGATCAGAGTGACAGATAGCAGCCATTTGGGAGCACAACAGTTCGTGTGCTGTTCAATTTCAATGTGGGCGCTACAGTAATAGAGACCACTGTCTTCAACTTTCAGCTGCCTTATCTCCAAGGAAGCAATATCCTGGTAATTATTTCTAGAAATAGCAAATCGGTCTCTCAGAGACGGACGGACGCTTGATCTACTGCCATCCTGGTTGCTTTCTCCTATCCATTTAATTCCTTCATCGCTTATCTTATATGTCCACTGGATCCAGTACCCAAGAAAAGAGGAGATACCTCTGCAGGTTAAGGTTAAAGTCTCTCCGGGGAGTTTAATTTCTGAAGTGGGTTGGGTCAGAATGTTCTGGAGCTCCACAGCTGCAAATTAAAAAGTAGGAACAAAATTACAGCATTGGATTAGCATCAACCCAAGTCCTTTAATAAAATCAATTTTTATGGCCATTTTATTCGATTGTATGTAGTTGCTCTCACACTATGTAGAGTAGAATGATTGGAAATCTATAGAAAATGAAGAGATCAGAGAGCATTTGTCCACATCTGAATCAAGATGTTCCAAATTTCATAAACCACAGTTTGCCCAATATGACATTAAAGCTTCAGAAATGATGTTCAGCATCCTAGTGTAATAACTATTTGTAACGTTAGGACTACCAAATAATGGGAGGGTACATTGGCATTTATTGGATTGCTGGTATGAGTGACCAAAGAAGAGAAACTACTAGTTATGGATCAATACTATGAAATGGAAAGAGTAAGAAAATAAAATAAATTGACATCTCAACATGATGCAATACATCCACAACACGTTAATAAATACAAATAATGTAAAATAATTTATTAGTAAATTATTAATCATGGTAGACTCATTCAAAAGATCCTGGAGTGCAGAAAAGTGCACCAAATATGATTAGGAGGCAGGAGCTTAAAACTTAATAAAAACAGTTTCAGAAACTGATATTTGAGGGGCTATCACAAAGACGACTGGCTCAACCTATTTTCAAAAGCTCTAGAAGGCAAGATAAGAAGCAGTCGATAAAAACTAATCAAGCAGAGGAGCAACCTAGAATTAAGAGAAATTTCTTAACCCTGATGACAATTAATAAGTAGCACGGCTTCCTTCAGAAGTTTCGGGTGCTCCATCCCTGGAGGCTTTTAAGAAGAGACTGGATAGCCACTTGTCTGGCTTGAGCAGGGGGCTGGACTAGAAGACCTCCAAGGTATCTTCCAACTCTGTTATTCTGTTAAAAATAGCCAATCACATCCTCTTTGTTAGAAGTGATGGACTGTAGAAAGCACTTAGTTTATTGAAGAAATATAAGATTTTCCTCGGTCTAATAGGGACACCTTGCCATATAGAAAAACAATAATTTACTCAGTTTCTGGAAAGTATATTTCACTTACCAAAGCAGCTATTCATCAGTATAAAAACTGTTATTAAAATCTTCATGATACTGTACCTATTAGCCAAAATAAAATAAAGTAAAAGTTGGAACAGAGAATATTCCAAAAAGTGCTCAAGAAAAGTTACATAAGTCCCATATAAGATTGATGAAAGGAAGAAAGATTTGCATAGGATTGCCTATAATAGGGTACAGTTCTGATTCATGCTCAGCTGCTTAAACCTCAAATTCCACTGAGCATTAGAAAATAGTCATTGCTTAAATGTGTGGAGTGACAAATATGTCAATGCTGATTTATTTCCATTTTAATTATCTTTTTGGT